CTTCTCGTTGAATTAAGAGAAAGTAGCTGTATATCTAGCCTATTTTGTATGTACAGATACAAAATGGTCCTTCATTTATATCCCCTTTTTTGTTTAGTTTTGTCAAAGGTGTGTATTCCATTGCCATTTAAATATTGTAGGTGCTTGTATCTTTTTGATGTATAAACTTTGAAAGAGTTGACGCATTTTCATACTCCTTGTTGTGCTCTTCCTTTTCCAATTTACTTAGCAATAAGGCCTTCTCAAGATCAGCCTCAAACGTTTCAGGTGCTGGCTGTTCATCTCTCTGTCCCTGTTCTTGTCAGTTTTCTTCTTGTTAAGCCTTTTCACTAGGTCTCAATGAAAGGTCCCGTTGAACATTATAACTGGATGGGAGGATTTTTGCAGAATTTTCTTAGAAGCAGGAGTCCTAAGCTTATTTGCTTCCCTCTGCTGCTGCCCTTTCTTTTATCTCCTTTTGTCTTAGTTGTAGTTGATTTGCTCTCCACAATTTGAGATTTTCCTGTATTTCAGCCTTTGCCTTTTCCAGGCTCGGAATCAGAACCACTGCCAGTATCAACTTGTAAGAGGGCAAATGAGAGGTGGTAGTGGGAACAGAGCTAAGAGCTGCTGAGGCCGTGGTATAGAGCTTTCTTTTCAAATGCTTCTGTCAAAAATAATTCTTCATTTCTGAATGAGCCCAATTCACCCACAGGCTGTGAGCGAGGCTCCAAAACTTCCTGGCAGCTGTGCAGACTATGACCCTGGGCAGTAGCAGCTTGAAACCAGGCCTTGGTGCTGGGCCTCAGCCTCTGCAGCCCAGGGCCACTCTGGGCATTCAGACCTGGCAGGGTCAAGGAGTGGGCGGAAAACAAGCTCTGGATCTGACCCAGGCAGATGATTACATTAGCCTTTGAAGTCAACACAAAAATTTGACTTCCAGAGTTTTTCAAAAAAGTAGATACTTCATATTATGCAGCTGTTAAGCTGTGCAGTTTTGTTGAAAGAACAACAAGTAACTAATGAATCATCCATACTTTTATGTTTGCTGTCTTAAAAGTTAAAGAAAAAATGTAGAATTCCAGTAGAACTTAATGATTATTGTTTATTGCCCATACTTCTTATCACTTTAGTTTTTCATCATTCCATAAAACTACTTCACTATTCAAAAGAAAGGAAGGAAGGAAGGGAGGAAGGGAAGAGGAGAGAGAGAGAGAGAGAGAGAGAGAGAGAGAGAGAGAGAGAGAGAGAATATAAAAGAAAAGGTCAAGTGAATTGTGGCATAAATAGCTGACCACAAATATGCTGAGAATCTCCTGGCAGAGAACCTCACTAGACCTGACATAAGAAATACAGAGGTGGCATAAAGCTTCGGTTATGACCAATGTAGTTTTATTGACTGCAAATAATGTTATAGGTAGCACACTTGAAAATTCCAAAGACAGTTGCTTGTAGCTTTTATATTTATAATGGCTCCCCAAATCTCCTGTGTCTAGGAATTGTTTTTGTTTTTGTTTTTGTTTTTTTGTTTCATCATAATTTTCTTTTATTTTGAAGAGTAAAAACAAGAGAAAGAAAACAAAAACAAAGACAGAAACAGGGTAAGATATAACCATACATACATTGCAGATGTTTTTGTTTTTGCTTTTGTAGTGCCAGAGATTGAACTCAGGACCTTGTATGTGCCAGGCAGGCATGTATGCCACCACGCTGTCTCCTCAGCCCGCTCCCTGTGCTCACAGAGTGACTGGGTCATGAAAGTGTTGTGCTCAGCAGGGTGAGTTTAGCAACTAAATGTGCTGTTGGAGGGCCTGATTGGAATTGGGTCACTGAGGACTGAGACCTGGCAGTATATACCACCCCACTCAACTTCTCTTCTCTCTCTGTGTCCCTACTTGCTGACTGCCATGGCCTTGTATCTGTTTTTGCAGCATGTCCCTCTACCTTACTCATGTGACTATGGACTGAAACAATGTAAGTCTTTCCTCCTTTAAGTTTCGGGTATCAGGTAATTTGCTCCTGTGATAAGAAGGTGGCTAAGGCAGATATGATTAACAAATTTCACAAACATTACAAGAGGAAGAGTCACAGTGTAGTTTGGCTTTCAAGTACTTAAATGAAATTTCTAAAGTCTTAGTCTACAGGAGGAATTTCTTAATATTTCATCTCTACCGTGTTGAATTTCGCATGTGAACAATTGAAAGTTTTGTAATAAGTTCTAAAGGCACATTAAAAAGAAGATAAAATGTTTAATAATTTTTCTTAGTGCATTTCTAACTGGTGTCATATCCAATTAAGGATCCTACTTGAACAAGAATTCTCCTTCAGTCACTGAATTTTTGTATGGGAAAAAAAAAAAAAAGCCATCCTTTAACCATCCAGTTCTAATGTTTCAACCTCCATAACAGCCCCTGAATGCCTTTTCCTTCTCTAAATGGTATTTTGTGGGGAGGACAGGATACTAAAAAATGTGGGGAAGTATGAATTATAGGAAAAATATGCAGCACCTTTGTCAATCCCAGACTTTCAATGACAAGGAGTCATCTTAATTTGGGATGTTATACAAAATATCATCTCCTGGGTAGTTAATATGCAGTATATATTTCTGATTTCTGAATAGTGAGGAGTCTAAGGTCAAGTCACTGGCAGGTATGGTGCCTGACAAATGCTTGCTATTTTGTTCACAGATAGTCATCTTCACTGTGTCCTAAACAAGGAGGTCAGAAAGCGCTTCACAAATGCATTAATATCGTTGATGAGGGCTCCACCTTGAAGACCTTATCGGCTCTAGACACCATTACACTGATGAATAAGTTCCAACATAGGAATTTTAGAGGAAAATATTCAGTCCATAGCAGTAGTTCAAAACACTTTTTAAACTGTTGAAACACATATTCTGCTATTATAATGCTAAATATAAAAGTCACAGGAATGTTAAAGATGAAGAATGAGAACTTAAAAGAATATCAAGCTTCTGGGCTGCCAAATAACTCAGTGGACTAAAGCACCTGCTTAGACAAGTGCAGGGACTGGGGTTCAATCCCTGGCATGCTATGCTGGCCCCACTCCCAGGGCACTCTGAGATGGCCACTGAGACTGGGCATGGTGGTGCACACCTGTAATCCCAGCAATTGGGAGGCTGAAAAATAGGAGAATCACAATGAATCTAATCTGTGTAGTGAGACCCTGTACTAAATACATTAAAAAAAAAGAATATCAAGCTTCTGATGGAAGCTTTCACATTTTAGCAAGGTATGAAGACATAGTAAAGAATTATCTACAAGGAAAAGTCCCCCACCCTGATAATCACTGACCCAGGAAACTATTTGTTTAAAGAAGATATATGGATCCCAAGTTAATTTTAGTGAAACTAAAACAAGTCAGTCCTGATATCAGTCTCATTCCTAGTAACCTTCATTAACAGAATCTTTATCTCCCCAAATTTATCTCTTTTTGTTCCCATATGTTAGGGTCTGTGTCTGGTTGCTCCCCCCCCCCCGAGGTTGTGTTGTTTTTCCTTCCAGCGTTCAAACGTGTGCCGAAATTTGGAAATGAGTTTATCTTAAATTCTAGGTTGCCTAGGTCTTTTAAGAAAAGGAAGATCTGAGAATATTCTTAGATCTTAGAATGTTCAGGCATTTCTTCTTAATGACAGTGGACTGGAGCCAAGGGGCACGATCTGCCTACAGGGGCTGCCATTGCTGCTCCCCATGTTCCCATTGCTTCTGCCTCCCCACTGGGGAGTCTGCACCACTCTGGTCCCACCATGTCCAGCCTTTCTTTTCTCTCCTCAAGTTTCTTATTCCCTATATATCCAAATAATGATTGCTGTCCACAAAATAATTTTAAAGAGAAACAAAGCTACAAATAAAATTCAAAAGCTATGGTGGCCGGGGAGATAGCTCAGTAGAATAAGCACTTGCCTGGCAAGCGCAAGGGCCTGAGTTCAATCCCTGGCTCTGAAAAAAAATCAAAGCTATCAAAATGATGTCAATAAGACACACAAAACGGTGCTCTATTCATCTGAAACTGCTATACCTATGTAATTTAAGGAGACCAAGACACCTACAATGCCTCATTACTACGCAAATATTAAAACGTATACTGGGGCTATTCTCACGAACGAATGCCATTTGTAATTTCTCATCTCAAAAATGTAGGTTGCTTCAGTCCACTTCTAACTGAGTCATAGCTCTTGCCCTGAAATTTAGGCTTGCACATGAAATGTACAAACAGGGCTACAGTGCTGATTATTGTGGCTATAATTACAGAAAAACATTATTAATTCAAAAAAGAGGTCAAGCTTTCCTTCATGCTGTTGTCAGTTTATGCAAAGGCTTGCTAAACAAATATACATAGCAGATTTTATAAAACCATTTAGTTCACAAATTTTAGAGTCATGAATTGCTAACAATATAAGTGCATTGCAAGCAAAAGTTAGGTACTGCTTAGGCTGGTATTTCAATACAATAAATACAAATCATTTTTATGCCTTCTGTGAGGCAGGACTTCCTGACAGTTAGCTTTTTCAACCTACTTCAAGTTGTAATATTTATTTGAAAACAATATTATATTGTTCCTGTGAAGTATATTGTGGTATTTTGAAATTTTATTATCTCAGACAGAACTTTTCCCCATGTTAACTGACCCTACTTAGTAGATACTAAACTTAACTGTAGGTTCCTATCAATCATGTAAAGCTTCCATAAATATAAGCCATTATATTTTTAGAATGCTTTAATAAGAGTTGATAGAAAAACATTAAAAATTTAAAGATGATGAGTAGTAGGTGAATCCCTACTACATCACAAAGAGTAGCAAGTTAGCCCAGTTTGGCTTTGTCTAGTCAGAGATAGGAGTCACACTATGTAGCTATACGTTACGGGTCACTCCAACATCCCAATATGCACAAGAGCACAAGTGAGTGCCTTACCTTCGTTGATAGTCACTACAAAAAACATATTTTATGCTTCAGAAAATAACCTTAAACATAGTTAAAACATAATAAATTTATTTCCTACCTGAGTAACTTTCTCTGTCACATTGTGGGTTCGTTCTTTAACTTTGGGTGCAATAATAGTTTTATCTGAAGAAGGAGGTGATGTATTCTTTTTTTCAGTTTTGACATCTGAAAAATTCAGAGTAAGCTGTGGAATCTTGTTAATGGTGCTGTATTTGTTGAGGTTTGAATCCGATGTGGAACCCAGGAGGCTTGACTTGATATGATTAAAAGGCCCTAAAAAAATTGGAAAGTGCTGGTAAGAAATGATATCAAGAAAAATGTTCAAAACAGAAATGGTTTCAAGTCTCCTGCTAATGATCCATGTCTTATGTGGCCCTGATTCAGTTACATTCATTCCTAATACACCCAGGTGATACCTGCACACAGAACTTAGGGTCACCTTCTGCCACATAGAGGGTCATGTGAGTATCAAGAAAAGCCTGGGTCTTGGAGTACTCCAGGATGGAAAATAGTATCTAAAGCCTTAGTTGGCTTTTTTTCATTCAAAACTGATAGAAGAAACTATTTCCTGTTATTGGCCAAATTCTACCTTCAAAGTATTCATGAATTCAGTTTTATAATCTGGGGACTATTCAGGGAAGAACTTGCCTAGGATTAAAATCATGTTGGCCATGAAATTTATGAATGGGCAGTGCATTCAGGAAGTTTATCCTGTACCAATCTGACTCACTCTTTCTTCCTTTGTCACTGAGAAGAAACAGTCCTCTGGGTCTTCACTTCTTTTTACTATTTATGTGAAATGCCCCCACTATGTCTTTAGAAGCTTACACCCAGGTGAACTGGAGAAGGGCAAAAGCTTGTGTGTGTGTGTGTGTGTGTGTGTGTGTGTGTGTGTGTGTACTCTATTAGAAATTTAAGAATCATGTGTGGTATTTTACATCCTTCTTTCCATTTTCCCCCTCATATTTAGATTAAAGAGTAAACACTTTTCAAGGAAAGAGAAAAAACAGCTCTGGCAAATATAACTCCTATTAGGAATGAGTATGGCTACGTAACAGAATGTGCTTGGGTTGGTCGTTTCCACTCATTCTGTTCCCACGATAGTCATCTGGCAAGATTGTAACACCCTTGCTTCCTTTGAAAGTGGTAGACTGACCATCAATATCTGAATCTTGCCTGTTGCACAGTGAGATGTTCCAAGCAGTTTCTTGTGCAGTGGGCATGCTATTTATGTAATTATTTGGCTGTTAAAAGTTAATATCAGGAAGAATTTTATAAAATCCTGGGTGCAAATGTGTTATACTGTGTTTTTCTGCCTCAGGGTGGTTAAAACATACAGATTTCATGAATGAAGTTCTACCTGGCATATTTTGCTTTATGTTTTTTTATTCCCATTGAGACTGACATAAATACATTTTAAGGTCAAAATGTTCTTTAAGCATCAAGCAAAACATAAATACTTCAAAATGAGATGCATAGGTTGCATATTTTAAATTTCAATGATTAGTCAACTCAGGTCAAACAATACTGTGCTAAGAGCAATACTATGCTCATTATTTTATTCATAGTTACTGTGTGGAAAAATCACACTACAATTTCATTTAAATTTGTCTGCTCATTTATTATAAAACTTTGAAATAACTTTAAGAAAACTTTTATGTGTTTAACAAATGTTATACCTCTTTAATTGCATTTCACTTTACTCCCTTGACGATGACAAGTTCATGTAGGTGAAAATATTATTGAACTCTCCAAGCATTTATTGCCCAGGTTTGCTTATTTGTTTACAGAGGTCAGAGTAAAACATAAAATCAAGTTAGACATTACTATGTTCAGATAATCTCTGACCAAAAGACCGTTCTCCAGGTCCTCCCAGATATCTTCACTTATTTATTTATTATTATAATATATTTCAGATCATAGTCTATTGTTTTGAGCATGCTATATCTATAGTTAGGCAGACATTTTAATATTTTAAATTTTTATAACCTTCATACTAGTTATTCATTGTCTTTCCCTAGTTCTAATGCTACACTTTCATGTTTCTTATATTTTAACTGCATTTGGATAGAGATAAGACACTGTTGATAGCAGAATTCATGTACATAGTTAAATTGTTTAAAAATCCTTCAAATTCACATCTGAGTTCTCTTTCTATATCACCTTTCTTTATGTTGAATTTCTGTGGCAAACTGTATGCAAAAGACGTTTTGGGTAAGATCCAGACCATCTATGAAGACAGACAAGCCCAGTTAGCATACTTTAGTTGCTTTTGTTACTACCAGTTCCAATACAATGCACTGGCTATCCTTAAAATGCCGCAGTCTCCACAATGGCAGCCCTTCACCAGCGGGGGCATTTGTGAGGATATTTCCAGATTTCATATAAATAGAAGAATTTGAAAATCAATCACAATCATCTTGAAAAATTGTTCCAGTGTCCCAAGGGACATTTGTGGAACTAAGAAGACTGTCTGTACTCTGAATCTTGAACAAGTTTCACATAAAATTAATAGGACTATAAATGTTAATATAAACATTAAAAGTTTCAGAACTACCATGCTATGAGGAAAAAAGCTAATATTGCTTTGCCTACAGCTTTGTTAACATTGGTTAGTTACTTTGGGAAATTGTGTTCCTGAGCATTATATTCTTTGTGGTGTCCTTGTGTTGAGCGGCCAGCACAAAGCTCTGGAGTTCAGGTCACAGATTGTATCGTACTTATCATATGCAAATAAGGAAACTAAAAGATTTGGGACCTTTTGGCCTATTGGTGGAGCAAAACTTATTAAATTTGCAGATAATTGTAAGAATCAGGTTAAAATCATGAATAATAATTATTTAAAAATATTTAGCTTTATTATTCTATGCATGTGGAAAGATAGATATAGGAAATGAAAATCTGTGTGCTAAATAATTAAACAGTTAAAATTCTTTATTAGTCTCAGGATTGCCAGTTGGTGTTCAGTCCCATTCTCATAACTCTTCGCAGATCTATCAGCCCTTCTTGGGAAAGTTTTAGTGGTCATTTCCTCAATTCATCTTTCACTTTGTATTACTTAAAGCATAAGCTGATAAGTTATTTAAAAATATGAATATCACTATGACATCTAGTGACTTTTTCTTTTGTGAAATTATTTTTTATTGTTTTTTATCACACAGGGAAATATTTTGACAGAATATTTGAATTTAAGAGCCAAGTCACATGTAAGAAACTTATACTTTCTAATTTCTCTCTAGTATTTTTGTTATATTATTATTTTGATTATTTTAACCTTTTAAAATTCATATATATGAATATATGTACATGTATGATATATATGAATATCTAAGTTTTATTTATTCCAAATACCAGTTTTTATTTTACTATGCATCCATATACCTGCATTATCATTTTATTAGTTCACATATGGAATGTTTCCTTCTGTCCTTAATGGTTTTAAAGGTAATATTTTTTCTTACATATAACTGTTTCATTATATCTTCTATTGTATTTATAGCTGAATGCCAGCATTTTGAAATAACTATCATTTGATTATAAACTACTTTCCTTTTAAGACTCCTTTATATTACCTTCAGGAAATCATTTTGATGTTTTAGATATATGTTAAATTATCTCTGAATTTCATAGCATGTTAATAAATTATAATGAAATATTTTTTGAAACAAGCAAAGATAAAATCACTCTAGATGGTTTAAGTAGATTAATTTAATAAATTAAGCATCATTTAATATACTACTTAAAATAATTAATGCATGTTACTTAGATCAGGAACTGCAAGTTATTGCATCCTGTGAAATGAAGATCGTCATGATTCTATTGATTTTGAATCTGATTTTTGTAGGTAAAAGTCTTCTAGAATCTTCAAGATGGTCAATGTTGGCTTAGGTTCCTCTAAAATTGTATTTATATTCTAATAAAAATATTCAATGATTTATGGTAAGAATGAATAATACATTTATTTCACCAGCTCTAAATTGAGCCTGACAGAATAGGAGGTCAAATAGGCCTAAGAGGCGAGGACCACAGAGTGGAATGTAGGCTTTCCCACCTCCTATGTCTACATTCAGAGAGGTCTTTGTGAAGGACACAAAGGTGAAAGGCAGCCTCACTGAGAGATTATGAACAGAGGAATTTAGGAGTCTAACAAAAGAAAGGAGTACACTCTGAAAAACAAAGTAAATGAATTTAAAGAAAATGAATGGGTAGAAGTGAGAAATATAATTGATTCTGCTGAGAGGAGCATACAACTCAAAAGTATACAGAGGGATTAAAGTGTTGTAAAGTAGCATTTCTAAAAAGGATGACCAGATTAAATTATTCAGTATATTAGAAGGGATAAAACAGATGACCAAGTAAACTAAGCCAATGTTTAGATAAAGCTTTTTATATGTTGCAAATGTCTGGTTAAATATGAAGTGGACAATGTGTGACTATAAGATTATTCTACATTCAGAGTCAGGCTGTAGGATAAAAGAAAAACTTGGAAAAATTTCGGTGAAAAAATTCAAAATTTACATGATTATGATATTTAAATAGATTATGAATTATGAAACATTAAAGAGTATATTCACTTTTAGACAGTATAGCTAAAGACATCTGAAATACATATATATTTCTAAAATATATTCTTGAATAAATTTAGAATTTATTCTTGAGGGAAAATGAAGCAGAAATGGATTAATTATAGTTTTGAATCACCATGTCTGTGTACAATATTTCTTAGGATATTGAACTTACCGTTTAAAGTTTAATAGAACTTAAAGTGGTTAACAATGAGGAAAGCATTTAGTAATTCTTATAAAATAACCTTGCCAGTAAACACAAGGCAGTAAGTTTAGCCTGTAGAGACATTATTAGAAGTAATCATCAGATTACTTGTATTTAGAAGGCATAATTTGTGTTCCACCAAATGTCATGTAATTTACAAAAGAAAACTGTCATCAATGAAAAATAAATTTGCAAATCCTTTTAAGACCACAAAATTCTGGATAATAGCCAATGTAATTTATGAGAAACAAGTTGTATGAAATTGATTTATTTCCTTCATGCATCTTGATGGGTTCTTTATCAGTGTTCTGGCTGGTGCGCAGGTGAAAGATGAATAAATCTTTGCACTAGTTTTGTTTGACTCACATGGCAGACTCACAGACTGTTGGAAATTAAACACACCAATATAGAAAAGTACAGCTCTTCTTGACAAAAATAAAGAAAAGGACATTATAAAAGGGGCAAAATTCGATCAATTTCATCAATGATATTTATTAAAATATAAGGATTAAATTATGTATTGATGATTTTAAAGGAAGAACAGGTGGAGAAGCTGCTAAGATTGAGGTTAAAATCAGTTTATGAATGACTGAAGTGAGATTAGGTACCCCTCTCTCAGACTAAATAAGTTATTAAAAATATAATACACATATCTATATATATTGTGTATACAATTTATTTGAAGTTGGTTTTTTGCTCCTTGATAAAAGGTTACACTTTATAAAAAGGAAAACTGAGGAAATTATTTAAATGAAATAAAATAGAACCAAGAAGGTGAAGTGGAAAGCATTTTAATCTGGAAGAAAAGTACCAGTTGGTTGTGTTGGGATTATAATATTGTGTCAGGGTTAGCATAGCCAGAGACACTGTATAAGTATTTCTGAATAATAGATATAGGTGAGGTGGAAAGAATGCATTTTAGTAAGCCAGATTTAGGCTGGTTCTTTGTGCAGTAGGAACTAAAACAGACTTCCCAAGACAGCTAAAGAATGGCCTCTTCTGGAGACAAAGATGCTGGTGCCACGTGTGCAAAGGAATCAGCCAAAATCTCACCTAAAGGAAAAAAATCAGATGATGTTGAAGACCCTCCCAATATATTCCTAAATCACTTTGTCTTGTAATAAACTATTTTTGGTTGAAATAATTATTGAACTAATTCATTGTAATTATGCATTTTGTATGCAAAGCTGTTTAGAATTGTATTTTTTATTTTGTAATTTAAAAAATTTAAACATCTTAGAAACAAAACTGAATTTTATTTATTTTTATTTATTTTTTTTGGCAGAGCTGGGGATTGAACTCAGGACCTTGCGCATGCCAGGGAAGTGCTTATTCAGCTGAGCTATCTCCTCAGCGCAGTATGAAGTAATCTATATTTAAGTCTCCAAATTCATTTACCAGACCTTTTTTTTTTTTTGTATTTTAGGGAAGGGTGTACAGGGTGTTTAGGGTCTCACTACTAGATCAGACTCACTGTGATCTGCCTGTTGACAGCCTCCCAACAGCTGGGATTCAGGTGCATGCCACCACACCTAGTCTCAGTTGCCATCTCAGCATGCACCAGGGTTGGGGTCAGCACAGCAGGTCTGAGGATTGAACCCCTCATCCCTGTGCTTGCTTGCAGGTGCTTTAATCCACTGAGCTATTTGGCTGGACATCCAAACATTTTAAAATCTTAATGTATTATTCCTCATCTAATTAATATAGTAATTAGCCCGTGAAACTCTTAAAGGGGAAGGTACTTCAATATTATTTAATAGTTCTCAAAGCTAGAACATGAAGAAATAATGAAAACTTGGGAAGACATATTTACATTAAAGTTGTATTAAATTTTCAAATATTTCCTCTGATTTAGGGGTTTCATTTTATAATTATCAATATGTTAAAAATTCTACAATGATTTAGAAAACATTAATCCCAAATTCTGATATGTAGTTCTACTGTTATTGAACTGAAATCATATTTTATTCAGACTATTTCTACTGCAAGGTAGAAGAAGGAAACTGAAGATGAAGAGTTGATTTAATGAATTACATCATAAAGTTAAATCCAAGATGAATGCAGTTTGACAGGTGAACTACTAACTTCAACATGAGCCTGTCTAATCTTCTATTTATTGAGGGAAAAAATCATTTCATTTCAGAAAAGCACTAGAAATTAATGTCTACCAATTCACTGCCAACTGTTAAATACTAAGCCTGTCATATGCCACACAGGCCAAACTTATCTATATACTGTTTCTTGAGGTTACATTCTCAGTTGTATGACAAAAATCATCCCCCATACTGACAATAATTTGACACTAATTTGTTCTCTTTTAGAAATCACATTGGACAGGCCAAGGGCAGAACAATTATATACAATGTATGGAATCCTGTGTCATTCTTGGAGTTAAGCTGCGAAGTCCCTTATTGAAGTGCTTACAAAATGAAGTTTGGGAGCAATTGCTACAATTCCATCATTTTTAAATTATCCTGGGCTGCTGACTAGAAAACATTCTTGACTTTTACTGCTATTAATTCGTAATCAGCACCAGCTTTGACTTATTTAAGGAAGCAATGGAGAAATCAGTACATGAAACTGCACAGTGGTTAGAGTACCAATGACGTATAGAAATAGCTAGAACAGTAAATTCTAAGTAATGATGGTAACTGGTGGAGACGTGTTCATGCAACACACATGCACAAAACGAGTCACTGTCACCATTTGCACATCCACAACAGCATGCACAGCCTAGGCCAAAAGACCAAATCAAGAATTTTCAATTTGAAAAGAACAATATGGTTTTCATGTTCTACTGTGATATAGTAGAAAACAGAAATGAATTTCAAATGTTTAGCCAAATCCAAATTTAGGCAGAGCTTTGTCCAATTAAACAATATCCTATGGTAGCTGTAGGTCAAACTTTTGATTTCAGAATAATATATAACACAGTTTAAAAATGATCAAAATAGAATATAAAAATATAAAATGACTCTCATGCATGTACAGTATACTACTACAGTAAGCTTAAAACCATACCCCCTGCCATCCAGGAACGTGAAACTAGTTTTAAGGAAACAAAAGAGGAACAAATCAAGTAATGCTGTCATATAGCACTTTTTTTCATTTTTAAATTTAATCATTATGTTAGAAATTTCCCCTGAGATAGGCTTATGTGCTTATTTTTACAATGAAATATATTTAGCTGTATATTTGCTTCTTTCCCGATGATTTAAATATTTATGAGGTGATCATTGTTATCCTATGAGTGCATTCTTGTAGGCAAGAGGTGTTCATTGTTATTTGGATGACACAGCTGAGCCAGTTAACAATGTCTCCAGCAAAATCAAGCCATGATGTCTCCACCAGGCACCTGGACTAGCTAACGGCAGCATGGAGAGGTTGCACCGAACAGGGCATACAGCAGGCAAGTTGACATGCCGAGAAAAGGGGCACTGTGAGCGTCAACGGTGAAATTTGAGTTTGTACGTTACCTTTGACATTGCGACCATTGTCTGTTTTGAGCATACAAGGACAAAAAGAAGAGAGAAACATAAAAAAGAAGACTAAAATTATCGTATAGACACCGAATTACCTTTGTAAAAACAATCATATAAAATAGGATATGATGACTGAAAATGTATCTTTGGTTGAAATGAACATTGGGTACTATTGAGCCAACAAAATTCATTTAGTAGAAATATCTGCCATAATAAACACTCTTGGTTAAGTATAGGAAATAATTATTTCATCTAATTTAAATGGATTCAAAGCATAGATTTTGTAATTGTGACAGTTTGGAGAGAGATATCCACAGTGCCTGCAGTTGTGATAAACTTCAACCTTGTCAGATGACAATGCTGGTTTCCCCTGAGGCATCACTTACACTCTGTTCAAGGGAAGATCACACATTTGTCATGTTAAGTTTTTTTTTTTTTTGTATAATGTAACCTACCATGTTAATGAGGAAAAATGTCACTAAGATAACAGTTTAATAAACCAAATTGCATTAATCATAATTTTGTTATTTGCCCCCTAACAGATGTTTAGCAGTGTATATTATTTAAAAAGTCAACCTTATCAAAACATAGAAACTATAACTAAAAGAGTCATTATTGGGCAATAACAATAGCGAAAACTCAGTGAATTTGACTATATAAAGAAAATGTGTATGTCTTTTATTTAAGTGATAAGAGCATACTCCCTGGAATATTTAGGATTTTTTTAAATGGTCTGTTTTTAAATCTCAGAGTGGATTGATTCTAGATTTATTTTTAGACTGAAAATCTAAACTTTGAATATGTGCGACTAACAAAATATATCTTACTAGCTTTGAAACACAAGCTTAAAATAAATGAAGTCACATCAAACCATTCAAATATATCAAGATTTGAAAAATCTGTTCCACAGTTAGTGGACAAATATATTATCACTACACACATTTAAAGTCCTAGAAATAGCATAATTATTTCCAAGCTTACATTTACAGCATTCCAATAGTGTGACATATTGAATTACTAGAATAGACTTGACATAGATAGAGATACATAAATAAAATGTTGCTGTTGATGAGAACTTTCTTTCCTCTTTGAGGGAATCACAAGAAATTAATTGGGATGGAAGAGATTTGATTACACAGAAATAATTTCTCAGTCAAAAGCTTGGTCTAAAAACCATTAATAAAAGAAAAAATTTCTTGTAAGCACCCATGAATTATATATAAATATAGTCTACATCTTTAGAAGTTATAAAGATTTAAATATGCTTAGAAAGTTAATAAAAGGTTACATTATATAAAGGCAGCTTTAATGTCTCCAAACATAGTACAAGGTCTATGCTAAACACAGTATTAAGACCTTGTTGGACCTCCAGGTACTGTAATGTTGCAGATATTAGAATAGTTAGAATCCTTTGTAGCAATTTGATAGACTAATTTCATGTCTGTTAAGTCTAATGGTAAACAATTGAGATTTGCATTTTGTATGTGTATTGTAAATTTTGTTTGCTTGGAAATGCATTTTTATTGAATTTTCAAATGTATAGGAATATGTGGACTAGAAAGATTCTAGTCCTTCACCAAGATGGTTTAAGAAGGGCAGTCCTAAGATGCCTGGATAAATGGGAGGATTACATAAGCTGTTATGAACTAATAATACATTTGCAAAATATTTAAAGTTCTGTAACAATAGCCTATGATAGGTAAAGTGAAACAACAATGTGTACAAAATTGTGTATGTAGGATTTAACCTGTTAGCTCAGTTTTATGGATTCATAAAGTTAAAATGAATTGTGTGGTTTTTCCATCTAGTTTAACAAACAACTCGGTTTTAAAATATATATAAAATTATGTAGTCTTGGGAAGAACAGTGTCTTCTATGTCTGTAAGCGATTTTGTGCCTAACATGCTCTAAAGCTAAAGTATAAAATGTCTTATAAATTTATTTGCCTGTAGTCACATGATGACTTCTGTATCCCAAGGAAGTGATATATTTTCTGAAAATAACCTAGTTTGGGTGCAGAGAGACACTGAGGATGCTCTTAACACCAAATGTCCATACAGAGTACTTCTAATGAAAAATAAATATTAAGTCACCCTTTTCTACAATTTTGTCAGTAACTGTGTGCTAAGTGGGGATGAAATAGCTTGAAAGCAATAACATTTTGAAACCTGGTTTGAGCTACAGAGAGCCACTATCAAAACAAGGACAAAATCTGTAGGATGTACTGATTATGTATCAGTTTGATTTTCAAATTTAATGTTGCTTAACGTTATTATCCAATAACTCAAGTTGTCAAATCTCTGAAAGGACACTCTTCGAAGAGTTGTTATGTTTGTTAAAGATGGTCATGCTAGCTGGACCAACTGAAAGACACACTGCTCACTTGAATTGCCTTCTAGGATTTATGGTTGTCATTCTGCCATAGGATTCAGTGGTTCAGGGCCAAATTACATAGGTTTCATTCTGGCAGGGAATACTCAGTTCACCACTACTAGAAGGTATAATTCTTTCGAGATTACCCAGTTTAGGAATTGCCTTTGATTTTATTTTTCCTTTGAGTTTCTTTTGACTATAGATTAAAATGGGTGTGCTACTGCTTTTGTAGTTTCTCAAACCTGTCGTATAGCAAAGTGCTATTTCTATTTTGAGATTTGTGGTTATCCTGCTGAATTGTTTTCCTGCCAACTACTTTTCTTTCAACTTCTTTGCTTCTTTTACTTCACTGAGTTATTCCTCTACATGAATCAAACCTAAGACTTTGGTTTAAGTTTAGAATACTATGGAATGATTAATTTACTTCTTGACGTATATGATTTTGAAATTAATTATAAACATGGATTGCTCAATGTCTAATCCACATTTATTGAGTATTTGCCATAAAATGAACTGATACTTCTGATAAGAATGCAGAAGTAACTCTGCAGGGTTGCCCGTACTAGGACAGCTCACAGCAACATAGCTGTGTATATCTAACCATGAGGACAGATACATATTATGCAATATATGTACAATATAACAAACTTTGAACATGCCAAGTGTTCAAAGTGTGAAATATTTGATTCTTGTGGGTTGGGAAATAGGAAATGGGTGCCTGAAATGAGATATAGTGTGAAAAGGGCAGAAGTGGGAAAAGCATTTTATCCAGAACAGTGTAATCAAAGAGAAAAAGCCACATTAAATTTCTGGGCACCTGCATAGCATCTTGGTAAAATTTAGAACAGAGTAGAGATTACAGTAGCTGGCCTTGTGTGGGCAAAACTTGATGCAGGAAAAGCACCTCGCCACTGAGTAAAGTCCATGGTACTCCTCTTTCTGGCATCCTGAAGGTAAGATTCTGTTCTAAAAAGCTAACTGCCAAGTTCCATGGGGGATGAGAGCATTTGATGAGATGAGTAGAGAAGGAGAGCAGGCCTAGTAGGAGCCTACACCTGTGAGAATTGGAGAAGAGGGTCTGATGTGTCCACACAGACATGTTGAGTGACTCACAAATCCTTCTTGCAGCTGGGTCTCAGCAAAGAGCAGGGAAGAAGGAAAAGAAGTGTAGCTTGGATTTGATTGTGGACCGGAGGAACACGCAGGCCCGGGTGTGAAGCCAGACTCTGACCCTGACTAGTTTTGTAACCTTGTGTCAGGTATTTATTTGTTGTAGCTAAGCCTCAGTTTCTCGTCTATAAAATAGGGCTTAAACTGGTTCCTAATTTATAGAGTTGCTAGGAAAAACAAGAGAATTAAAGTGTGTCAATCACGTTCATCGCCTGGAGCGTAGTGAATACTCCACAGGTGATGGCCATTATCATGCTAATGATGAGTTGTTATTGTGGCTATTTATAGTCCCTATGTTCACCATTGGCTCGGGAAAGAATATGAACACAGAGAGAAGCCAGACAAGAATACATAAATTCTCACTTTGTCTTTCAAGTGGCTTTGTGGGGTTCTCCCCACCAATCCTTTCCTCGCCTTCTTTCTAGCCACCATCTCTGTCAATACATCACATTTCCTATCCCTCCATTGGTTGAAAACGTAGTTCTGTGATTGTGGCACACTTATCTTATGTGGATGTGATCATTGCTAAACATAGCAGAGTTAATTATGCTTGCGGTGAGAATGTTTATCACCTAGACCCATCGTATATTAAGCATCGATTAATTAACACTCTACGTAGTGGGTAGATACACGGTGATCGATTGTACCATTTGAGAAACACAGGGTAAAAGAGGCCAGAAGAATCCAAATTACTCATGAAGGTGCAAAGAGAAAATGAAGAGCAATTCTGAATGTAATACCTACATTTTAATAGGCTTTACTCACAAGTTTTCTTTAAAGGCACAAGGATTAATGTTGATATTAAAATCAATATGGAAATAATTCTTCATTACTCATTAATCTATTTTTCTATGTTTTTTAAAAAAGAAACAACAACGTACCTTCACTGGCATGTCGGTCTCTAAATATGCTTTTGGGGTGGACACTGAATCCCTCTATGTCATGGACTGAAGAGGCCCTTCGCATGCTACAGAGGCTTTCCCGGGATCTGGAATGGGTGAGCTGGGAACTTGATTGCAGCATGTCAGGGTAGAGTCGGTCCCATTGTCTTTTAGGTGAGGAATGGTCAAGAGGTCCAGATATGTTCACCAGGGGAGAGCACTTGCTGGGTTGTATCAAGGCTTTCGTATCATCTGCTTCAGAAGGACTGCAGCTTTCTTTTGTAGGAGACTTAAAGTGCTTCATGGCCACTGAATCATCACTGTGCTTAGATGAATCAATTATGACAACGTCAGGGTCTTCTTGTGGTAAGGACTGCTTTCTGTAAGAGAGAACTCTCAGACCAGGGAACTTGAACCCAAAAAGTTTCCCTATAAATGGAGATAGGAAAGATCATTATTACGAGACAGTGTGGTATATCCTTTACACAAAACAAGAATTGTTGACTCCTACTTAAATACCATGGAAAAATAATTATTAATCCATACGCAGTTATAGTTGGAATGAGGCGCATCAGCTGGACCAATATGATTATAGAGATAAAATACCAAATGATCTCATGATTAGCTATCTCATTATCTAGGTTAGATGACAAGAAACTTTTATCACCAATAAACTAAAAATATATATCCACAGGTTAGATAGAAAAAGATGAGATCCCATGTCCTAAGTTGGAGGAGTGGACGGAGAATGAGTACGGTGTATCTATGTGCAGCAGGGGCTGGCATGCTGGGAGTGAAAGAGGAGGAGGAAGGTGGAGAAGATAGGCCCTCACATCCGGTAAGGCTTTGCACTCATAATATTGTGGATTGAGTTTGGGTAGGGAAAGTAGGGTCAACTGTGAGCCAGAGGATTCTTATTAAATATGAAATTCTTGATAGGATTTGGTTTCCAAAGACATGTATTACAAAGCTAAGAATTTCTTTCTTCCTTCTTTTTGCGGTTCTTGTTGCCACTCCAAAATCTGGGAGTTTAGCGTGAAGTGTTACGCATGCCTCAAAGTGGATGCATAAAGGACCGCTAAGTGTGAACATTAGAAGGTGGAATTAGAAATTTACATACCAATTCATAAATATATAGAAATTAAGATAGTCAATAATAAAGTATCTACACAAACATGTTGGTAGTAAACATTACAAATTAAAGCAATTGGGTATTATTTTTATGCCATTAAGTTTATCATTGGTCTGGAGAGATGGCTCAGTAGAATAAGCACTTGCCTGCCAAGTGCAAGGGCCTGAGGAAAAAAAAAGTTTATCAGTAAAACACACACACACACACACCAAAAAAAAAAAAAAAAAAAAAAGAAAAAAAAACCCAAAAAACCCCTTGTAACTTCTAATACTTTTGACAAAGAATACTGGTGACTGTTCCGATATTTTGCTGGTGGGGTTGAAAGACATCTGCAAATATTTGCTTAATTAAATCTCTATACTTTTTGTTTGGCTCAGCAACTCATATACAGCATATTGCAAAGGCTTATAAACTAGAAACAATCTGAATATCCATCAGCAGGAGAATGGTTGAATAAGTCAGGGCATTTTCATATGGTGGAATCATATGATACAATAGTCTTTAAAACTAAAAGTCATACATGCTTTGATTATAAGGTTGTTAAATAGTGTTAAACTGAAAAGCAAGTTTTGAATCGGTGTTTATAAAATTATTTTACTAAACAATAAAAGTCTATATTTTTCATAGAATTCTTAGGGTAGCAGAGAAATATGTGGAAGAACACAGTGCAAACTTGTAATATTGACTAGCCAGTGGAATGGTTTGGAAGTAGATGGTTATAATGTATTGCATATTTCTTGTTTGTTTCTGTTTACTACATCAAATGTGAATTCTTATATACATTTAAAAATAATTCTAAAACATGTAAAATTGCTACCATTGAAAAAATATGAAAAAATAAGAGAAAGCATCCTAACAATATCTGTAATCCAGCATTTTCTAAGTATTATTTGCAAGAAACTGTAATTTGTAATTCCTTTTGCTAGTATAATAGACTGGGTCCATGTCATCTCCAGTTTTATAATTACATGTTACTTTTTTGGTCAGTCAGCTTGGATCTTTGAGTTATATATTTTCTATCTTCTTACATTCTTAAATATCAAATATCTAGATATTATGATCTCTGTAAACATATTTCAGATATATTTGTTACAACTGGTTTTCAATGAAGTAAAGACAGTCATAAAACTTGCAAAACATTCTCAAAATTGATGAACTTTTCTCTATTTTGAATTCATTCCTCCAGTCCATGCTCCAACCTACACATAGATGTGCAGTTCTGTCTTTAATCCAATGACCTATAACTGAAGATCATTCTAGATATCATACCCTTACCAATCTTTATATCCAAATGTCAGTCCTCTAATTTCATTCATTGTACCTTCTGAATATCTTTCCGTTTCGACTGTTTTCATTTCCACTGTTCCTACCCATCTAAGCTACTGTAATCATTCACCTGGTTGTTTGCCACAAGTTGCTACAAACGTAGCATCTTTTATATTTACATCATTATCTTCCATCTTTCACAAAATAATTTTTTATTTAAAAATTCACCATTCCTCTTCCTGCTTTGGGACTGAAAAGAAAACTATCAGCATCCTTCAGCTTCAGCTATTCTCCTTGTTCTCTTTAATACAGCAATAAGACTTTCTAATTCCTCTGGAGGTATCTGCGACTTTCAGAGTCAGGGCTTCCTTGTGTTTGATCTTTTCTTTCTGCCTCCTAAGCTCACCCTTTAGGCATTAGCCCCAATGCTATTTCCCTAGAGAAGATTTTTATTCCTTCTGAACCAAGTTAACACTCATTCCTACTTTTCACCACTATTAATGAGTGTGCAGTTATTGATTTTCTGGTTAACACGTCCCTCCACAGCAGTAGTACAGGCCACATATGCAAAGGGCTGAGTCTTTTTTTCAGCAGCAAGCCAGGACCTGGAAGAATGCCTGAGCATGAAAAATGAGTTTCCACAGACAAGTGCTAAACTGAACTGATGATGTGATCAATTTTGACTATGAATGAAGTTGAATATTGAATTGTTTTGCATAATTAAATAATCTTAACTTCTAGAACCGTATGTATTCATATTTACTGAAAATGATTGATAAAATCTCCACCATCATGGAAATGGAGAGCTCTGTGTTATGCCTTATATATCTCATATACTTCTCATTGCTCAAATTACCTTTTAGAGATGTTATTAATTGCGACTATTCTCGTTCCAGTGAATACCCAGAAGTATCTTCAAGCTCTTCATCACCTAGTAAAGTTTATGTAAAGTACCCAGTATAGAACATTTTAGAACTAAATAGGCTAATTTATTACTGTAAAATTTCAATTTGTAATGTAGCAGTTAGCAGTGTTAAGCATAATTGAAATAGGTTTTATCTCTCTAGTAAAAGACACAACACAATATAGGGCTAAGTACCAACTACAGTAACCAATCAGTTCAAACAAGATTAAATATCAATGCATGATGATAATTGTTTTGTAAGATTTCTTACATATTTCTGCTAGCAACTTTTATACGTGCTTGTAAATTGCCAAGTTAAAAATTAGTGAACTGCATCAAAGTCATTTGATTAGTTTTTAATGCACATGAAATTGGGTTTTAAAGTAGTTTACAAATCAATTTTGCAAGCTTATTACAAAGCACTGAAGGTCAATGCATGCTTGTATTCATTCTTCATCAATTACATTACCCTCCTCCTTTAAAAAATGGTTCACTGGCTTTCTTAAATTAATGACCACACAAGGCATTTAGTTTGCTCCTGTAGTTTAGTCATATCCAAGGTGGTACAGATGGTCTTTTCTGCATCACTAGGCTAATATGACCATGTTATATTGCATTATAGATTTAGTTGTCTAAATGTAGCTCATCTGGAAAGAATGCACATTGAGAAATTTGCTCAGTGCTAGCACTTTCAAGCCTGAAATGTAAAATATACATAAGTGCACATTTTTTATGGATCTTCACATTGAAAAAGTCCTTTACATATTCAGTTTATTATATTTTCTAACTTGAATAATTAGAACAGACACTAGCCTCTTATCATGTGAAATGCTTAGTAAATATCATATATGAAAAACAGCCTAAGAGTCCACACACTTCAGTGCCTTCCCAGAAAAGAACAATAGGTACTGATTTAGCATTTGCCTGAACATGGTTTTGTTTGACTTACCATTCTTCTTAATCTGTCAAAGTATAGAGCTGCTAACACTTCAAAATGGTAGGGAAATCATCTTCCTTGGTGAAAAATAAGTGTTCTCAGAAGTCTACATTTACTTTTAATCACTGAAATTCCTCACAACTCTATGTTTCCAATCATTTCCTCAGTTCAATTTCTCATTTCTGCACACTTTTAGAACTTTGATTATTTAGTGATTTTTTTAGGCCAATAAAGAAATAAAAGTGTTTAACTCTTGCTTGGTTCTGCTTCATAGAATTATGGGCTGAAAAGCAGAGAGAAATTTAAGTGCAAATAGTCTTACAGACTAGAAATTGTGGTGATAAAAAGAGGACTTGCTGTGTGTGTGTGTGTGTGTGTGTGTGTGACAGTCCAGAAGCAGAGGTCTTTCTTCTCATGAAGGATGCAGGTTGGCTAGAAAGTATCTTCAATTGGATTCCTGGGAACAAATTGTCCAAAAGGTTTAATGGGCAGTAATTTCAGGACTGGTATCTATAAGGAAGACAGGCTTGGAAAAAGGAAGCTAAAACTATTATCTGAATGTAACTGATGCTTCAGCTAAGCCTCTAAGCCGGCTACGGGGCGAGTCCTTTGGAGTTGCTGCTGCAGCTATAATTGTTCTCATGGCTTGTTGTAGCATTAACTCCCCTTTGACCTCTGCCTACTGCCTTAAGATTCACATTATAGCTGGATTCCAATTTGGTTTTGTACTCACTGCTGATAAATCAAAGCCAAATATTTAATATTTGTATCTCAGCATTAGCCAGTTACTGGGTCCAGCCACCTACAGGAGAAGCTATAACCTAGGGTAATACAGTTTCTGCCTTTCAGTACAGTTTCCAGGGTGGGCAGGAGCTTTGAAGCACAGCACTTAATATTCTGAGCAATTGTGCTGTCCTAGTCCTGAGCAAGATGTCTATGTTGTATGCCATAATGTCTAGGATACATAAGAAGATATAGTCATCTGTGGTATTAAAAAGTTATGAATTAATTCTACAGTGAGTTATCCTACAAAACAAGGATTGTAAATTTATAGCGTTATACTTTCTAAAGAGAGGATACTCACATGTCTGACCTTTAAATTGAAAGCCTTAATCTTAATGGGAGAATTTTCTCTAGCCAAATAACTGGATATGCACAGAAGCATGATTTTAATCCTGGAGTCAAAGAAA